GGAGGGGGCAAAGGGAGAGAGAGAATCTTAGGCAGGCTCATGCCCAGGATGGAGCTCGATTGGGGGCTCAATCCCAGGACCCTGAGATCATGACCTGAACCGAAATCAAGAGTCGGTCCCTTAACTGACTGAGCCACGCAGTCCCCAGTGTTAAAGGTAGGTTTAAATTTCATCTTTTTTGCCAATAGCTTGATGCTGCTGAATGTCCTCAAGAATCTACAATTCCCCAAATGCAAGAGCTCATGCAAGTTCATTAGTGTCACAGGCACATCACATTCTCAGTCTTTATTTTAAATAATGAAAAGAATAAACTGGGCAAATAGATGAAAACATTCAAAATGATAAAGGGAGAAACACAGCTGAAAAAATGTTTCTACCCTGAAGTATTTACCATAATACTATCACAAAAGATCATGACACATATGGGATATTACAGGGATTAGGAGAGAAATAAAATTCATGGATTGGGTTTACAAATCAACTTCTCATTTGGATTCTGAGGCAAAAAACAAACAAACAAACAAACAAACAAAACAACCAAAAACCATGAGGCAAAGTGCCAGTAACTGTAGATTTGCGGTCATTTGGTTTTCAAGTACTTTGTGAAAACAAATTTCTTAAAAACAAAACAAAACAAAACAAAACAAAACAAAACAAAAAAGAAAACAAATTTCTTTCCATCCTATTCCAGCCTGGTATGTATTTTTGTATTAGCTTCGTTCTTGGCACTTTGAATGTGTAAGGAAAAATTTGTGTTTGGTTGGAAATTATACATTGTTTATACTCTAGAGGACACCCCTCTGGATGTTATGTGATTCCAGTGACATGGAAGCCATTTTGTAACTTTGTAAATTGTAGATTACTGAGAACAATGCGGAATAATTCCTGTGTATAGACATGCAAATTCCATCCAGTCTAGTAGAGGTTCAATTGACTTCCTTCTCCTACAGTGAAAGGGGTCAGTTTTGCCTCTATTTGTGCATTCATTTCAATATTCCTACTTTAAAGATATTTCATTTTTTCAACTTCTCCTTTAAACTGGTTGTGAGACTCTTCCCAATTTCATGAATAAAATAACACATTTTCACTTTATAACTGTATTTATGTCATGATTCTACCTTACTTTGAAAATATCATTTTTGAAGTTACCAAATTATTTTGAAAATAATCTTTGAAAATTATCATGGTTTCTATCTTTTTTTCCCTAAAAGTTCTTATGTTAATTCTATTTTATATTGCCTTACTGGGGGCACCTGGGGGGCTTAGTTGGTTAATCGTCTGCCTTCGGCTCAGGTCATGATCCCAGGGTCCTGGGATCGAGCCCCGCATTGGGCTCCCCACTCCGCAGGAAGCCTGCTTCTCCCTCTCCCACTCCCCCTTGCTTGTGTTCCTGCTCTTGCTATCTCTCAAATAAATAAATAAAATCTTTAAAAAATATATATATATATATTGCCTTACTATATTTTATGTAGTTTTTAAGTTGCCCTTAAACTCTTTATGAAATAAGTTAGGGTATAAATGAATAGAGTAAGTGCTTAACAATCCAGATTTTTGTTTGTTTGCTTGTTTCTTTAACAAACAAAATGTTTAGGGGATCTCTAAAGTTCTTTCTTTGATATTCTATTCATCTGGGAACAGGAACTTCTGGGTAAAGTTTTTTTGTCCGATATGACTTTTTTTATTCTGGTAAAATATATAACATACAATTTGCCATTTTAATAATCTTTTAAGGCATATGCTTTTTTAAAAGGAGGGTATGATAGTTCCTTGATAAAATACATTGATCTAGGGGACAGTGATGTCTTAGCCATGTCCCAAGTTCAGAATTTGATCCCCCTGATTTGCCACTGGGAGGGTCCACCAGCCCATTTTCATGATTTGGAACAAAGGGCATTAATACCATGATGCGGTTGGGTAGAGAGAGCTTGGGTTACCCCACTTCCTACTGTCACTGTTGGAAACCACAAATGCTTGATTTAAATAAATTTTTGAAGACAGAATTCAGCTATGAAATTTCCTGTGATAACCATGCTTCCTGTGACAACTGGGGGGGGGGGGAACTAATCAGAGTAATCAACTTCTTGCAGGAAACTTGTGATATATGCTGACTGTTGGTTTTGCTTAAGGAAGTTGGGAAAAAATGAGGGAGGGACCAGCTTGCCATTGGCCAGAGTTTCAATCATCTGTATAACTCAAGACAGAAAACAAGTCTTAGTGGTTTTAGAAAAGACTGTTTTATGATCTGTCAAAATTGAAGGTGTCTTGATTGCCTGGGACAGACCCTTCATCATTGTCATCATCGTTGTCATTATTATTTATGAAGAAACTAGAGTGTCAGGACACTCTGAGACACAGGATGGACAAAGGATGCTACTGTCCTTTTTTTGTTGACAAAATCCAAGACTGAACGTGACCCCGAGGTCATCTGTACTGCTTCGGCACCTCTGCCTGAAGGGGCGTGTCTTAATTATCCAAACAGTCCAGAGCACCAGAACCCCGGGCATATGGGGGCAGGTCACAAAGGGATGGGGCTGTCCCCACTCTAGGCCACCGAATTGCCAAGGGGAGCAGGCGACTGTTCCAAAAAGGGAAGGTGTTCTGAAGGCTTTCATTGCTTTCTTTGGGACAGAAAATGTGAACTAGAAGCACTCAGTCTTAACTCTCAGACACGATGGGTGAGATTTTTTTTCCTTAATAGAAATATTTTTTTAAATAACCAGTACAGTCTTTTAATAGAGACATTCTTCATAGGAAAATTGCAAACATTACAAATTCCCTTCTGAAGAACAAACTCATAGTCTGTGTTCTGGGAAGGTACACAAAGATACTGACAATACTTCCCTTGAGAAAAATAGGTAACAGTCAGTTAAATGTCTGCCTTCAGATCAGGTCATGGTCCCAGAGTCCTGGGATGGAACCCCACATTGAGCTCTCAATGCTCTCTGCTCAGCGGGGAGTCTGCTCCCCCCTCTCCTTCTCCCTCTGCCTGCAGCTCTGCCTACTTATGCTCTCTCTGTCAAATAAATAAATAAAATCTTTAAAAAAAAAGAAAATTTTACAATTATATATAATGTCATAGAAAGTGCTTATTATAAGACAAGTGAAAGGATATAGAATTATAAATTGAATATGATTAAAATTATTTTAAAAATATTATGTATTGAAAAATAACATAAAGGAAATCAATTAAATATTAATGGCAGTTGTGTTTGTTAGAAAATTTAAGTGATTTTTTCTTTTTTTTACTTTTATTTTCCTGTTTTCTTTGTGATAAAAATAAAATACTATTTTTATTTTATTTATTTATTTTATTTTATTTTAAGATTTTATTTATTTATTTGACAGAGACAGAGATAGTGAGAGCAGGAACACAAGCAGTGGGAGTGGGAGAGGGAGAGCAGGCTTCCTGCCAAGGAGGGAGCCCGATGCGGGACTTGATCCCAGAACCCTGGGATCATGACCTGAGCCGAAGGCTTAACGACTGAGCCACCAGGCGCCCCTAAAAACTAACATCTTATCTTTGTTTAGCATTTTCATGTTACAAATGTCTTTCATAAACTGCATATCATACTTAGAAATGCAGTGATCCTATGCGATAAGTAGGGCAGAAAATATTAGTCCCGAATTACAGAAGAAGAAATTGAGGTTCAATGATTTGTCCAATATTACATTTGTCCAAGAGTCTGCATAATGGATGCATGAAAAGTAAGTAATGTTTTTAAATGCCTATGAGGGGCTCCTGGGTGACTCAGTGGGTTAAGTGTCTGCCTTCGGCTCAGGTCATGATCACAGGGTTCCTGGATTGAGTCCCCGAGTTGGGCTCTCTGCTCAGGAGAGAGCCTGCTTCTTTCTCTCCCGTTCCCCCTGCTTGTGCTCTCTCTCTCTTCAAATAAATAAACAAAATCTTCAAAAATAAAAATAAAAAATAAATGCCTGTGAAACTTCATTTCAAAATACAACCATGTCCATGAATTCCTTATGATTAAACCTATGTCTATGAAGCTATTTGGATTGTCATCAAACAGGAAATGGAACAAGCTTATTAATAACCATTAATTTCAATGGCAAGACTTATGTGAACAAAGAGCAACCTCAACAAACCAACATTGTGGGCTCTCGTGTCTTATTTAATTTTCACAACTTTATATGATGGGTGTAATTATTCCCATTTAAGAGGTAAAGAGGCTGAGGTTAAGATAGGTTAAGCAATTGCCCAAGTTTGTACAGATGATAACTGGCAGCTGGGATTTGATGCTAGATCTTTTGACTCCAAGCTCAGAGGTTATTTTGTTACATGATAGTTGCCCATCACAGCCACATATCCTCTCCTCTCTTCTTCCAAAATATTAGCACATCTCTTTCCATTATCCAGGCTAATTGCTCTCTATTGAGGATTATTCCCCTTATCACTGAGGTGGACTCAGTGCCCAAGATGGTTCTGGCATTGGGAAAACATAGGCTGAGAAGAGTATGACCAGCATTTCCTCTGACCTCTTTGGTATGGGGCTTGAAGACCTGAACTAATGGCTCCAGGAGCTGCTCCAGCCTTTTTCATTCTACCGAGCTCTTTTTTTTTTTTTTTTAAGATTTTATTTATTTATTTGAGACAGAGAGAATGAGAGAGAGCACATGAGAGGGGAGAGGGTCAGAGGGAGAAGCAGGCTCCCTGCCGAGCAAGGAGCCCGATGCGGGACTCGATCCAGGGACTCCAGGATCATGACCTGAGCCGAAGGCAGTCGCTTAACCAACTGAGCCACCCAGGCGCCCTCTTTTTTTTTTTTATTTAAGATTTTTAAAATTTATTTGTGAGACAGAGAATGAGAGACAGAGAGCATGAGAGGGAGGAGGGTCAGAGGGAGAAGCAGACTCCCTGCTGAGCAGGGAGCCCGATGTGGGACTCGATCCCGGAACTCCAGGATCATGACCTGAGCCGAAGGCAGTCGCTTAACCAACTGAGCCACCCAGGCGCCCCTACCAAGCTCTTTAGAGAATCTACTCACTATCTCTGTATCATCCATGACCTTCTTCATCCATGAACTTCTTCACTTATAGAGCATATCAGGACCTAAAAAAGAATTTTTAATGTTTTATTTAAAAAATTACTAAGTAATAACAAATAATAAAGAATAATTGCTAATTACTAATTTATAATCAAATACAAATTTTTAATGTTTAATTTAGTTACAAAAATAATATTTGTTCATTAAAAGTACAAGCCAAATGTATAAAACCAAATATTAATCCTCTCAACTTTTCTCCATTCTTCACACCTGAGGTAACCGAAGTTAATAGTTGATGTAGAACCTTATAAATATGCACAAATATGTATGGGTTACTTCGTGGTTTGATATTTACAAATATAGGATCATAGTGTACATATTGCCCAGCAATTTGATTTTTTTTCCACTTAATTATATTTCATATATATCTCTTCAAGTCAATGGATATATTTGTTTGGATATAAGTTTAGTTGCTATAACAAAGGGATTACAAATTACGGAATCTTAAATGAGACAAAGTTTATTTATCCAGTCAACCTGACTGGGCTAACACAGCTATTATAACTATGTTCCATGAGCATAAGCATGAGTTAAAGTAAACATACTTGAAATGTATGGAAAGATAAAAGTCCTCAGCAGAGATACAGAAGCCATGTAAACCTCAGAACTAAAAAATATAGTATCAGAAATTAAAAATTCACTGGATATGCTTAATGTCAGGATGGAGAAAAGAACCGGTGAACTTGAAAGTACATCAATAGAAATTATCTACTCTAAAGAGCAGAGGAAAAAAAGACTGAAAAAAAATTAAACAGATTCAGAAACCTGTCAAAAGGTTGAACACATGTTTCCTTGAAGTCCCAGAAGAAGAGGTGAAAAATTTGGCTTAGACAAAAATTTTGAAGGAAAGAGATGGCTGAAAACTCAGAACTGGTGAAAGACATACATTTAGAGATTCAATAAGCTCAGCCATCCCCAAACAGGATAAATTAACACACAACCATTCCTAGACACTTCATAGTCAAATTGCTGTAAAAAAGAAAAAAAAAAAATCTTAAAAGCAGCTAGAGAAAAAGGACACATTACATACAGGGGGGATCAATATGGGATTCTCATCAGAAAACCAAGAAGTTTTTCTCATCAGAAGCCACAGACAATGGAGGAACATATTTAAAGTGATCAAAGAAAAGAATTGTCAACCTAGAACTTTATAGCCTGAAAAAATTACCTTCCACAATGAAGCTGAAATAAAAGACATTCTCAAAGGAGAAAAACTAATGGAATTTGTCTCCAGCAGCCCTACTCTAAAAGAATTGTGAGAAGTTCTTTGGGCTGAAGAGAGGGGATCCCAGAAGGAAATATGTATCTTCAGGAGTGAAAAGAGCAACACAAATGGTAACTATCTGTTCATATAAATATGAAATATATTATATATAAACATAAAAGATCATTTTTTTCTTCTTGAGTTCTTTGGAATATGTGTGACTGTTGAAACCAAAAATTATAACATTATCTGGTGGGGTTTTCAATATATACGCATGTATTAGAAATGACAACTATAACATAAAGGTCAATTGAAGGGGAGTTAAAAGAAGTATATATATATATTACATATATATATATAGTTACAAGGCTTCTATATTTTACTTAGACTGGTAAATATTAACTCTAAATTGCATACGTTTAAAAATGTATATATAATTCTAGAGCAATTATTAAAGGGGAAAATATGAACAGATATAGTCAAAAAGCCAATAGATAAGTTAAAATGGAGTACAAAAAAATGTTTCTAATAATCCAAAAGAAGGCAGAAAAGAGGAACAGAGAAATGAAAAACATGTCAATAATTACATTAAATATAAATGGCCTGAACATATTAATTAATACTGTCAGGTTGAATAAACAAGACCCAACTATATGCTATTTACGAGAAACCCATTTTAAATATGACACATACATAGGTTAAAAGTAAAGGACGGATAAAGATATACCATGCAAACACTAATCAAAAGAAAGCTTGAGAACTTACACCGATATCAGACAAAGTAAATTTCAGAAGAAGGGTTACTACCAAGGAGTGATACTATACAATGATAAAAGATTAATTCACCAAGACAACATAACAATCATAACTGTGTATGTACCTAATTATAGGGCTTCAGATTGCATGAAGCAAGAGTTGATGGAATTACCCGAGAGAGAAAACTCTTCCCCAATCCTAACAGAATACACAATCTTTTCAAGTCACAAGAAATATTCACCAAGATAAACCATTATCTGGGCCAGAAGAATCTTAACACATTTAAAAGAACTGAAATCATACCAAGTGTGCTCTCTGACCATAATGGAATTCAACTAGAAATCAATAACAGAAAGATGTCTGGAAATGCAAAAATCTATAAATGAAAACTTAATAAATATCACTTGAGTGTTTCCCCAAAGTTTTAGCAAAGCAAATCCCCATGTTTGTTTGTTTCCTGGAGAGAACTTTTTTTTTCAAAGGTGGTTTGGAGGACAAATGAGACTCAGGAATTATCTCTGGTACAAATACCTTAGAAGAGGGAGTATATGAATAGAAATAGCATGGGGTCTGGGACTGTCTGTGTGACATTAAGGAAAACACTCCACCTCTGTCTCACTTCCCTGTGGCAGAGTCACTACTGAAGACTCTAGAATCTGAATATTGGGCTTCCAACCCTGACACCATCACTTACCCGTGTGTGATCTTGGACAAATTAATTGACTTCCCTGTGCTTCAGTTTCATCACTGGTGTAATAATAATAGTAATAGTAATAATAATAATAATTCAGGTCATCATATGTCCTAGTTTGTCTGTGACAGTCCTGTCTTATGTTTGTTATTTGGCTATAATTAGTAATAGTGTCCTGATTCTGGTGATAAATTATATGCTCACTCTAATAATAGTACTTATATATTACAGGGTTGTTGAGAGGATTGAATTTGTCATTATGCAGAGTGTTCTAGAATGGTGCAGGCAGTCAGGCTTATATCCATCCTTTCAGTATATTTGATTGCCTGCTGTGGCCCAGGCGCTTTCCTAGACGCTAGGCTATGGTGCAAACACCACATTCAGGGTCGGGGGCCTGGCAGAGTGATCAGGTGCACAGATTCCGATGCTAGACTACCTGAGTATGAATCCTGGCTCTACTCTCTAATAGCTGTGTGACTCTGAGCAAGTAATTTTAGTTCACATTTGTCATATGCGTTGTTATGAAGATTAAATGGGTTAAATTTGCAAAGCACTTAGATTAATACCCAGTACATAAGTGCTATATAAATATTTGTTAAATAGAACTTATATTCCCAATGTTGGAAGATTAAATGCATTGGTATATGCAATGTTTATATGTATTTGTACTGGATATTTACCTTTCATTACTGAAGGTGTCCATTCTGGTATTTTTCTCAATACAAAGGAAATCTCCAAAGGTGTATGGGTGGCTCCCCTACTTCTAGAGACAGTAGACTTCCAGCAACTTTTAGAGGACATTTTGTTTTTCTAGATTAAAAAAATATAGTCCTGTTATAGTCTCACAACAACTGTAGTATTATTAACATGGTTCTTACAACGAGACAGGCTCAAAGACTCGCCAAGGTCACAGAGCATTGCGTCTTTTTGATCAAGTCTTTGGCAAAGATGTTAAGGTAAGTGTTGCATTTCAGTGTGTTTCTAGAGGACAGCAAGCAAGCTTCATTTGCTGAGCAAGTTCAAGTAACACATTATCAAAACCAACATGAAGAAACTAGATTGTTCCATTATCGGAGATAGAAAAGCTGTAATAATGAAACCTTAATTCAAATACAGGCAGTCTAGCTCCAGAGACCATATACAGAAAATTGCTGCACTAGGAAGAGAAGAGATCCTGAAGTTGCTGAGCGCTGTAAATACACTAGTCCGCCTTCCCTGTCATGGGATGGGGCAACACCCCCTCTGAAGTGTGCCACCTGAGGCCTAACTGTATCTGCCACAGGTTAGGGACCCTTCCCACCCACCAACTCAGAGCCTTCAACTGATTTCACCCATCACTGTTTCCAACATCCATATGCCCAGGGAGCACTTTATTTTCTGCTCAGGGACTCCAAACAATTCCAATAGCTAATGCATGTGGGTCTAATTCAGGCTTTGCCGGCTGTAACCTGACTACAGTGACATTTATATGCCATAATACATGCAACCGAGGCACTCAGCAATGCTCCCTCCTCACCCCCAGCCTCTTGGAATGTGCAAAATGTGCCTGTTAAGTAGCATAATCCTTTTTACTTGGAGTGCCTTTCCCCCTGGAGCCTTGCAAGTACTCTCTGCTAATGGCCCATTTTTAAGGATCTCCTTGAGACCAGAGAGGGCACCGGGCCTTAAATCTAATAGCACCCGAGCCTGTCTCCGTTTCAGACATTTCTAATATGCTCAGAAAGAGGCCTTGAAAAAGGGACTATCTTTATCCTTGGTTTCTCCTGTGCCCTCGGGAAGCCCTGATTTAGAAGATGCCCCTCACTTAAGCTGAAGCTGCTGCGGCCGATCAGGCACATTGGACTTAGAGCTGGTGTCCAATATGCCCGAAGCAGGCCGTCAGCTTTGACCCGTGTCCCAGCCTTCTCTGGATAAATGTGTGGTGTTTCATGGATCTAAAAGGAGAGGAATAAAGAGCCCAGACTAAAAATTTCGGAATGGTAAAAAAAGAGGAAGAATCAGACATTTTCCCCTTCAAATACTAATCATTTTAAATGCGCAATTTTAAGGATGCATTGACCCTGCCTGGCAGTCCTTGCAAGGAAATCTTCCTTTCCTTTCTTCATTCTCTTCTTGGACTCCCTCCCAGCTATTAGCTCAAGCCAGAGGTGAAGCCCCATTGAGTGAAACTGCTAGAAATGCTATGATTCACTCAGTGGGTGGCTCTGAATTAATTGTTGATCTGGTGGTGGGTGTTACTTTTTCTACCGGGTAGTGAGTTTCTAAATCTTGAGATGCCAGGCAAAAGCACTTGTGAGAGAAAGCACAGGAGAAAAGGATGAAGAATCTGAGATGTGCTTTCTCACCCCTGGAGCCCTTTCTGTCTTCATGCCATAGGGAACAGCAGAATCATCCACAACCCATGTATAATTAGTGGTAGTGAAACCGGGAGCTATGGGGAATATCAGTCCTGAGCAAAGACAACAGTGGCAAATCTTGATCAATTTTGCAAAAAACACAGGACTTTTAAAAAAGTGTAAATACAGAGTGTCATATATTCGTTGCTAAATTCATACAGCTCTACTTAAGGTAATTTTTAAAAAGTAAATGTTATGCTTTCAATTGTGTTTGCAGCCGCCGCCGCCCCGCCTCTAGCCCGCCGAGCTCCAGCCCAGCCGAAGGAGAAGGGTGGTAAGTAAGGAGGTCCCTGTACCACGGCTCCTAGAAAGCACAGACTGCCTGCAAATCGACCGGTGGTAAAGCACCGAGGATGCAACTGGCTACAAAAGCCGCCCGCAAGAGTGCGCCCTCTATTGGAGGGGTGAAGAAACCTCGTCGTTATGGGCCCGGGACTGTGGCACTCCGTGAAATGAGACGTTAGCAGAAGTCCGCTCAACTTCTGATCCGCAAACTTCCTTTCCAGCATCTGGTGCGAGAAATTGCTCAGGACTTCAAAACAGATCTGTGCTTCCAGAGGGGCAGCTATTGGTGCTTGGCAGGAGGCAAGCGAGGCCTCTCTGGTGGGCCTCTTTGAAGACACCAGCCTGTGCGCTATCCATGCCAAACGTGTCACAATTATGCCAGAAGACATCCATCTAGCGTGCAGCATACGTGCAGAACGTGCTTAAGAATCCACTGTGATGCAAAACATTTCATTCTTTAAAAAGAAAAGAAATTCTCCCTGTTACTGGTAGTTCTGAACGTTACTTTTTTCCCACAGGGTCAAGAGGTACCTAAGTATATGACTGCAAGTGGAAAAATAAGGGACAGAAATCAGGTGTTGGCAGTTTTTCCATTTTCATTTGGGTGTGAATTTTTAATATAAATGCGGGGACATAAAGCATTAATGCAAGTCAAAATGTTCCAGTGAACACGTTTCAGCTGTTCAACTTTATAACAATTATAAATAAACCTGTTACATTTTTCTGGACAATGGCAGCATTTGGATTTTTTTAAACAAGTAAATGTCTTACTGACAGCAACTAAATGGTGTTTGTGGCATTTTTATCATACAGCAGATCCATCCATTCACTATACTTTTCTAGGTTGTCTTACATGCAAGTATATGTTTTTAATGTTGTCTGTCTTCTGTGCTGTTCCTGTGAGTTTGTTTTAAAATACATTAAACTATAAAAAGTAAATGTTATAATGTCATAAGGGAAAATTCCCTTTAAATTTAAAAGAATATATATATCATATATATTTACCTTTATATCTATTATACATATATGTGTGTGTGTATATATATATATATTTGTTGTTGTTGTTGTTGTTAGGAGTGACCTTTTATTTGGGAAACTGCCAGAACCACAGCATGTTACTGGTCTACATCATGCTGATTAATGCCTGCTCAATGAGAGAAATTCAAGGGTGAGGTATTCAGGGTTGTCAGTGAACTGACCACATTGGGCTCGAGGGTTTTGTTCAGGACATTAAGTTCTTACTGTCACCTAATGTAGCCACCAAGGAGAAACTTGTACTATCTCTGTGTTTCTTCACTAGGGGCAGAGAGGACCCAGTCAGAGTACAGGTTTCCCTAGTTACCTGAAACTAGAGTGTTCTTATGAAACCTGAAAGCAGGAATGGCATAAATTGAAGAAGCTATTACCATTAATTTATATGGTAAATTTATTGAGCATCTCCAGACCAAAAACATAACCTCTCTTTGGCTTTTCTGATACCTGAGGACACATCTTGCTAACAGATGCACAAAATAAATCAAGACAAAGCCCAGATGCTCGCAGACACAGTTCAAAGCCCGGCCGCTTGCAGAGACGTGGCTCCCAGGGAAGGGGTGTGGCGGGCCATTCTCGCTGCTCGGGGCATGCTGCTGCCACAAACCTCGCCGCAGAACGAATGCCGAGTGCTATTTTCACTTGTCGCCTTTTTCCCTAAAAGCAAAAATCCTCTCCGGATTACGTTCAGTTAGCGAAAACCCGTACTTACGTTAGCTCTTCCGTAACAATGGTGCGCTGTGCGCTGTCGAAGAGCCGGAGATCTGGGTTACAGGAGCGGTGCCAGGAGCTCTACCTGCAGGGGCTTGAGTGGAGCCAGCATGGGAGCTCACACGGAGGCCTCCTCTGAGTTCTTTTTTTTTTTTTTTTAAGATTTTATTTATTTTTTTGACAGAGAGAGACAGAGTCAGAGAGGGAACACAAGCAGGGGGAGTGGGAGAGGGAGAAGCAGGCTTCCCGCGGAGCAAGGAGCCCGATGCGGGGCTCGATCCCAGGACCCCGGGATCATGACCTGAGCCGAAGGCAGACGCTTAACCGACTGAGCCACTCAGGCGCCCCTCCTCGGAGTTCTTTATTAGACTTGTCTTCCTCCTCAGCTCCAGCACCTCCAGTGATGCAATTTGGTTTTCTCCCTTTCTGCAACGAGATCCATCCAATGGGTCACGGGCTGTTTACTGCATTTACTGCTCAAATGCAGGCACATCAGCCCATTTACCTGCTCTGAAAATACTGTGAGTTAGGGGTACCTGGGTGGCGCAGTCAGTTCAGCACCCAGCTCTCGATTTTGGCTCAGGTCTTGATCTCAGGGTTGTGCGTTTGAGCCCCACAATGGACTCCATGCTGGGCTTGGAGCCTACTTAAAAACAAAACAGAACAAAACAAAACTGTGATTTAAGTTTGTGCTAATAGAACATGCTAATAGAACTCTGGAGCTTTCTGGCATTCAGAAGCAGAGGAATAAGTCATGCCATACTTAATAATCAAGTTTTTATTATATAGCTCTGTACTATTTACAACAATATTTTTTGGTGCTTCCTTCAGCAGTATGTATATTAAATTCTTTTTACCAGCATCATATTAATTGCTGGGCAGCCTTGTTTGGTGGGGGAAGACATGCTTTGGAGTAAAGCAGAGCTATGTTTTAACTCTGGTGCTTCTACTCAGCAACTCTGGAACCTCAGGGGCTGAACGCTTTACCCCTCTAACCTCTGTTCCTCATTAGTAAATATGGGTGATGTTTCCCAGCTATGAGGAGTGAAAATGATACCTTATTTAAGTTCTTAGTAGAATGGATGGTCTGAGGAACACACTTTGAGAACCGGAGACCTATTCTCGTCTTACTGTATTTTGTGTTTAATAGTAAGACTATTCTTGTCTTACTGTATTTTGTTTTCTTAGATAGGACATTAACCTCCCATTCACACTGATATGTCTTGCTTTTATTCTTTTTATGACTACCAGAGTTTTTAAATTACTTGACAAAATCTCCTGTCTTTAGGTATTAACTTTTTTTCTGTTACAAATGGAATTTTTATAAAGTTTATAAATTTAAACTTGGCGGACAAGGCAGTTGATTTGTGTGGATTTCTCTTATATTCCACGACTCTCATTAATTTTTCATTTCCTTCATTTTGTTGTTGTGTTTGTTGACTTGCCTAAGTTTACAAATAACAGTGTAACAGGTACATGAGGGAGTTCAGGCTGGAAAGTTTACCATCTGGTGCAGGAGTACTGATGTATTTTGATGATTGGTTCAGCCATACTGGTGTAGATGAGCTCAGGATCAGCCTTATTCTTTTTTTTTTTTTAAGATTTTATTTATTTATTTGAGAGAGAGAATGGGAGAGAGAGAGCATGAGACGGGGGAGGGTCAGAGGGAGAAGCAGACTCCCCGCCGAGCAGGGAGCCCGATGCGGGACTCGATCCTGGGACTCCAGGATCATGACCTGAGCTGAAGGCAGTCGCCTAACCAACTGAGCCACCCAGGTGCCCCGGATCAGCCTTATTCTTAAGTAATAAAAAATCGACTGGTCATGTCTAGTGCCAAGTCGCTGATTAAAACTTTATCTCGTACATTAGGCAAAATGCTAAACTTCATTTCACTTTAAAGTCTTTCCTCTTCCCCAACTGAGGAAAGAAGGGAAAATCAGCTTCTTTCTTTCCTTCTGCTCCCCTCTTTCCCAGTCACCAGGATGACTCTGGCAACTCCCTGACCGGGTTGGGGGCCGTGGAGGCAACTGATTAGAACCAGGGAAGGTGGGACTTTCACAGTCACAGATGTAATCTGGAGCTGGTGTCTTTGATGTTGGCAGTATGGAAGACTGTCTGTGAAAAGCAGAGCTACTGCCTTCATTTCTAGGACTGTACTACGTGGGAGTGTGTGTTAATAGGGGCTGTAGTT